ATATGACAGAGAGAGAGAGAGAGAGAGAGAGAGAGAGAGAGAGAGAGAGAGAGAGAGAGAGAGGGACCGAGAGAGAAGAATATATCGTTACTTGTTGAAAGCTGTTCAATTTTTACAAAAGTAACGTCAGTGTTAAATGCACTTGCACGTATTTTATCATTGATTCAAAGTGTGTCATTACTGCTTGTACTATTACGATTGTATGCTTTGTAACATAGAGATGAGAGCGCGCGCGTTTATCCTTGATGGGTATCGTTTTCGCGCAACGCGAATCCAAACGCAACGTTTACATACAACAACCAAGGTTACATACGACACGATTTATAGCTATAAAAAGACTTAAATTATCGTAGAAAGAATCTATTCATTGTGTCAGTTGAAATTACATGATATACATTCAACTCACTCAACACGAATCCCAATGCAGTTGAAATATTCAGACGTTCTTGCATCTTGCTCGATGGCTAGGATGGCAATGTTTCTGAACTGTGTCAAACTTTATGCTAATATGTGCGAATTTCCAAACAAGTAGAACGCGAAGTAAATGTATGTAGAGAATATGAGTGAACGGAGAGAAAGTGAAGCTTAGTTTTTTATGCAACGTCAAGGTCGAATTGTAGTAACGTTTAATCGGACAGGATTTATGCAACTTTAATCAACAACACGTTTCACTCGGTAAATTACGTAAAAATTGCAATCGTTTTCGAAACTTACTCGATGACTTTTTGAGTTTTTATGATATTTTCGTAAAGTTATTCGAGATATCGTGACGAAAATGCGTCAAGCTTTATCAATGAGAAGAAAAAAGAGGCCAAGCTTTCGTAATCTTTGCCTAAATATTATGTTTTTCCGTTCTTATCGTACCTGTGTTCAAACCGTTTATTAGAAGACAAGTCCGAGAAAGAGCTTCGAATTTCTTGAATTGTATATAAAGAATAGATGCACATGAATATATGCACATGCATATATGTCTGGAAAATTCACTTTCCAGAATCTTTAGAGCCTTGGAACAGGAGACAACACGTGTAAAAGCGGATGTCATATTTTTCAAACTGCCACGATACTGTACTAATTCTAATATTGCTTTCATTTTTATAAATAATAACTCATAAACTAACATATAACGTGATGTACGCAGGTGTGCGGAGAAGTCGCGAGGGTCGCGGTATGACGAGCCGACTGTGGAAAGTGTTATCGCGTAGACGCATCGAAGAAAATGAAGAAGGGAAAGGTGAGCTGGCACGGGTGCTCGGTTTATTCGATCTGACTGCGCTCGGCGTGGGTTCAACTCTTGGCTTGGGCGTTTACGTCCTTGCTGGAAGCGTAGCGAAAGACACAGCTGGACCTGCCGTTTGTATCTCTTTCCTCATAGCCGCCGTTGCGTCTGCTTTTGCGGGTAAAATATCCGACTACATTGGTCATAATATTATTAACATAATTCTTGCGGCTAAAGTCGAAGAACACATTATTTCACTTTTTTAACTGAAATTTTCTCATTTGCAAGTTGCAATTGCATATTTGTAAATGAAACTACTAATAAAGAACTGACGAATTGGGCACCCCCATGTACGTCAAAAAGTCACGATGACGTCACGACGACGAGAAAATGTCTAAAAAACTCCATCATTTCGATCATTTTCTCGTCTCACTTTCAACGTTATCGCGATTTTCTGTTTTGCTTAGGTTGGTCCGTTCTCTTTCATGGTACAGATATTTAACATGTCCATACCATTTACCATGCCGTAGGTATGTGCTACGCAGAATTCGCATCGAGAGTTCCAAAGGCCGGCTCAGCGTACGTTTATAGTTATGTAACAGTAGGCGAGTTTATTGCTTTCGTCATAGGGTGGAATTTAATTCTGGAATATGTAATAGGTGAGTGTGACACAAGGAGAGTCGAATATTAGTGATCATTAATGCGATTTGCAGTAACTCACGGAAAAATTCACCTTTTACAGGTACAGCGAGCGTAGCTCGAGGTCTCAGTAACTATATCGATGCACTGATAGGAAATGTCATTGGTGATACTATACGTTCCGTTATGCCTATAGACGTTCCCTTCTTGTCGGAGTATCCGGATTTCTTCGCTTTTGGAATGGTAATGCTACTAGCGGCCCTATTGTGCGTAGGAGTAAGGGAATCGTCCATTTTAAATAATATATTCACCGTTATAAACTTAACGACGATCGCGATCGTTATTGTCGCAGGATCGATAAAAGGTAAGCCGATAAGGCAAGTCGCGCGCACATTAGAATTTGTCTCGATACATCTCGTCGAGTCGCGAGGAGGAAATTAGGAAGTCGCGAGGAGGAAATTAGGAAATTAGCATCTCTGAAAGCGATGATCAATTTCGTAGAGACTCTGTGTCTTCTTTCTTCTTCATGATTGTAAAACTTTCACTCGGGCCGTCCTTTCTTTTTCTTTTCTCTCGTTCTTCCCGAAAGGTTGGTAAGATGTTGGACACTTGGTGTCGCGGATAATTTGATCGATTGCGCTACTTTAAATATTTGCAGCGAACCCATCAAATTGGTCGATCGCACCCGAGAATATTCCAGATACCGTGAGAAATGTTGGGACGGGTGGATTTGTGCCGTTCGGTGCCCGCGGAGTAATGATCGGTGCGGCAAAATGTTTTTACGGGTTCGTGGGATTCGACACCATTGCTACCACCGGCGAAGAAGCGAAGAATCCTCAGCGTCATATTCCTTTAGCGATCGTATTATCCTTAATTATTATATTCATAGCGTATTTCAGTATTTCCACGGTCCTGACGATGATGTTGCCTTATTACGCTCAGGTACTATTCACACTATAAAAACAGATTGCGGAATCTTACTTGGAATGCGCAACGGTCTGAATAAATGCGAGACTGTCTAAAGTGAGTGAATTCGCGTTTAGAATGCAGACGCACCGTTTCCACATGCATTCGACGAGATCGGATGGCCTGTCATTAAATGGATCGTCAACATAGGTGCGATATTCGCGCTATGTACTAGTCTCTTGGGCGCCATGTTCCCATTGCCCCGCGTACTGTACGCCATGGCTAGCGATGGAATAATATTCAAGACTCTTTCCAAAGTACATCCTAAAACTATGACACCTATATACGGCACGTTGATGTCTGGTTTGTTTATCGGTTGGTTCAAATTCAAAATCAAATTATGCGGAACATCCTTTTGATGCTTCGTATACATACATATACATATATACATACATATACACACGTGTATATGTGTGTGTGTATTTATGTATGTATATATGTATATATATTGTAGGTCTGATGACGCTCATTTTTAACCTGCAACAATTGATCGACATGATGTCTATCGGTACTCTACTCGCATACACAATAGTAGCGATATGCGTATTAGTGTTGAGGTAACATATCGATTGTTTGTTTGTTAATTTATTTAGCGATCAGCTAATAAATAACTTAGAGTATATCTATATATGTAATTGCTTTCTGCTGTAGATATCAAAAGGGAGAAAATTCTTGCAACGCTCATGCTGCACCACCAAAGAGTAATTATCAGCTTACACCTGTAAATCTATTCAAAGAATTATTCAATTTGCATAATCAAAAGGAACCGACACAGCTTTCCAACAAAATTGCCAGTATCAGCATCGTTTTACTCTGTGAGTTTCTGTTGATCGCATAGGATATTATAGCGCAAACTACCCCCTTCCTCTTATTGTAGGTATAAATTGTCTGTAATCTACAACAATTGTTACAGGTATTATTATATGTATTATCGCTTTTTTTATTAATAATATGGGCACACAGTTGGTCGCTGGAGACGCTATAGTATCTGTGATACTAGTTATAGTCATGATGATTCTTTTTTTGAATATAGCAGCAGTCGGTAGGCAACCGGTACAAAAAATTGAGTTATCTTTCAAGGTAAGAATACAAATACACACCGAATGGGTACAGTAATACCGCATCGTGTTGCAACGATGCGGCAACTTCGAAGATTATCGATATCAATGTAATATTTTTCTTATATATACATGTATATACAGGTACCTCTCGTGCCACTTATTCCATGTCTTAGTATTTTTACGAATATATATTTAATGTTGCAACTAGATGTTTTTACGTGGATTAGATTCGCTGTTTGGCTATTGATCGGTAAGTCCCTATAAAATGCACATAATGAAAATCATCTAAAAGTTATTCAAAAGTTGAAAATCTATTTGTTATGCGTAGGTTTCTGCATCTATGGTTTTTACGGAATTACCCATAGTGAGCAAGGCAAAAGAAATAAGGCGGAAAATGACAAATTACAACAAAAGTGTGTGGAAAAATTTAGGATAATGATCACATATCCATAGAAATTTATGCGAAAAAAGAAAAGGAAGAAGCAAAGGAGTTTCAGACATAAAAATTTCCTCTTATGAGCCGAAAAAACAACTGAAAAGACAATGTTACACTAATACAAAAAGATATATACGTTTATTACGCCTAAAGTTCGGCCATACTTATAGATAGAGCGCACGCAGATTTATTTTTTGCTATTTTTTTTTAGTGTTCATCTTTCTAGCGAGAGTATAGTGGAAAATATCATTTCTTTTGTCCTGTTTCCACATATATTTTTGCGCTACGTTTATGTTTCATATATCTTTGATGTAGTGATAATAATTGCACCATGTGATGTAAAAAAAACGTATACACGCGCAAAAACGTGCAAATGTACTTTATTACGCGACAGTTTTTTATAAAACAGAAATAATATGCTCTTTGTACATCGGTAAAAGAAAAAACGAGATACTTTGATACAGAATAATATTTTCGACATATTAGCAATGTATACACTTGACAACATTCATAAATAGATTAATTATGTTACACTAATGTGTTGAATCTTAATCGTTATCTCTCATCATAGTATACCAAATGATAAATAATAAAAAATAAAACTGATGACATGCTGTAAGATTTTATTAGTTATACCAGGATTTAGTGTGTGATGATCATTGTGAATAACTTAAGAAAGAAGAATATATACTAATATAAAAGTGTAATATATATATATATATATATATATATATATATATATATATATATATATATATATATTATCAATGAAATTATACTCCTGACATGCATATTTTTTTGATCGCTGGAATGTCGTATATCACAAAATAGTAATTTTAATTTTACTATACTTTTATATAAGCATTTTGTGCTGTTATGCGCTAATCATAGATGCTATTTGTCAGACTGTTATCTTTCATGTCCTAGCAATACTAGAAAAATAATAAAGTGTTCATATAACAATTATTATTTTATCCTGTAGGCATACTTTGACGAAAATAATAAATTTACACGATTATATATATCGCAATTTCGAAATGATATATACGTAAAATTTACGCGCACGTGTGTTCTACATAGTTCTATATTGTCTATATTTCAAATAAAGAACTTTATTAAAAATATATAGCTATCTACGCGCGCGCGCGCGCGTGTGTGTGTAGACATTACCATTTTTAATAAAGCTTTTTCTATGTGTGTTTATATTCCATATAGTTTTTGACTAGAAAAGAAATGTTTAATATGGTAATGTTAATATGTTGGTTTTTAATTCTTAAGTAATTAATTGTATATAATTGACGATTAAAGATTGGAAATATAATCCGCATAGATCGCATAGACGCGTGTTTGTATATGCACGTTTATACACACATAACATTATATAGTACAAGGCAATCACATAAAATTGCTAATTACTTTATGTTAGCATAGTCAATTTTAGATCTATCGCAGTCATTTCGTCTTATTTATAAGTCCTCCGAGACTTATATTTTGCCAGTTTGCCTGTCAAGAATAAAATTGATTTTTTTTAGTTGTTAAAAATATTGTGTGTGGATGTGTGTGTATGTATATCATGTTATTATTTTCTATTAAAAAGATAATTGGTTATATGTAATTTCACGTTACGTATCTTTCTATGTGCCTAAAATTAACTCTAAATTAGCTTGTTTAAATTTCCTCTACTTACTCCTATACCAGTTACCCAGCCAGTTCCAGCTGGATTCTCATGAGTAACACCAATTCTTCGACAGATAATGCCAGCTCCTGACGTTGCCCAAACTTGTCCCTGTCCCCTTGAAACGGATACATGTCGGAATCCTTGCTTAGCATTTGCCACTGACATATCTAGAAAAATTGAGGTTTGATTTAATTTTAATTTAGAAGATATGTAAAAACCGCTTTTAAGAGAGCGCGATATATGTGTGTATGTGTGAACAGGATCATATATACCTATATGAATAGGATCATTTGGCATAGCGGGTAATGTTTGCCAATGAGTTCCTTCGGGAAAAACATTCGACTGTACGTCCCGACGCACTGACAATCTACCCGCTGTATCTAATGCCCATACCACATCGTATCCCACCGAAATCTGCTTCAATTGAGCTCCTGAAGGTGGCTCGACGTTTTGCCATTGTATGCCTAAATTGTTCGACAAAACACTGACTGTCCTGAATTACGATTAAATGCGATACAACATCTAGCTGAACCTCTTCAGTAAATTGTTACAAACCAGTTGGTTTCGCAGCACTGATCCCTAATCTCCAACAGGAGGAACCATTTTTTCCGACAGCCCAAACTTGTCCACACGGGCCACACGATATACTAATTAACGGTTGATCACTCGGTATATGTTCCCATGACACCCCCTGTTTAATGTTAATAGAACATTAATCGCACACAAGTTTATTCAAAAACTATTGCCACAGTCGCTTCAACGAATACTGTGATAGTCTAAAATGAATTTTTCACTTAACAAATGCCAAATGTTGTTATACATATAAAAGAAAGGAAAAAAAAAATATTAAAATGTTCGTACCATTGGACAAGACTCCGACACACCTCGCCTGAATAAAGCTTCACCGTTCGCAGCAACTGCCCAGACATGAATAGGAGTGTCTGTGGCAGGTTTTCCTGTTGCCTAGTTAAGAATGCCAAATAGTGAATACGTGCTCACCCGAAGCGCCAAAGATAAAATCGTAAAGGACATACGTATAAGGAGACATCGACGAGTTTGGTATTTCCCAGCTCTTGCCACGGCCCACTGGTTGTCAATTGACATCTTCTAAACCATCGTCTTCGTCGAACGTAATCGGTAAACTGTTTTTTGCCGTGATATTGCGAAGGAAAATCGGTGGCGTATTGCCAACCGTCTCTGTCAACACCACCGGGTGTATGAAAGTCGACAATCCAATCCGATACCTTTGGAATATCGGTATTTTAGTTACGTAATTTAGTTAGCGCGGAAAGGTAAATCGCGCGCGTCGGCAACCAACTGTTTCAGACGAGATTAATACCGCTGTCAATACAGGTTCTTTGCGTCCGCTTACCCAGTGCCAGTGCATCGACAATAACTTGGTATGCTCTCGCGTACATTTGTGCCGACCGGTCGCGTCACTCCACATATAACGATCCGTAGGGAGTCCATGCGCGGTATATCCAGTTACTGGATTCCAACGTTGATTTTCGTAAACGTAATAATTGTGAGTATCCACCATAGTATTGATTCCGGTATTACTAGTGGCCAATCCTGCACAATGTCTTTTCGTCAACGATTCGTGCCATATCAAGATTGCTTCGATGTAGACATAATCATACTTGACTTGAATGTAATTTAACGGCGGAGTAATTTAACTATTTTATTACAAATAAATAATTAGAGGAAGACAATGAATACCTTTGAGAAATGCGCCTCCCCAGCCACCCGTGTATACCCAAGCAGTACTATCGTAACCGATACCCCAAGTAACGCCCGTGGAACACGTTTCAACCTTTTTCAGGTGTCCGCCAATTTGTCTCCAAAACATCGTGCTCGGCTCGATAATTACCTGTCCGAGGTAACAAAGAAATGTTTTTGAAATATCTCATCGCGACCGGTTGGTCAATATAACGCAAGAATATAACGTCGTGATAAAAGGCTCCACTTACGGATGTAGATTTATATGTGATATTACATAAAGTCAACAGTCCCTTAATGCGTAAATGCGTGATACTTTGCGGAGATATTCTGTGGCTATAAAAGGTATATTCGCTATCATTAATAAAAATTCTATAACCGCGTTCTTCGCAAACGATATATAGCGTGAAGTCACAGCCTGCCTTCAATGGACTACCTCCGTTTCTTTCCTCATCCCCCCACTGTCCATTCTGATATGTGTTCCGTACAATAATATTTTCTTTGAGTCTTGGATTAAAATGAAGTGCTACGTCGTGATTATCTGTCACAGCTTTTTGTTTCACGAACGTTGTAGTGTAACAAACCAAATTGAAATGCAACCTAAAATGATATTGAGTTTAATAATTCCATTAAATGATTTGAACAATCAGGTGCGCACAACTGTTGAAACACAATAATACAGCTATTGAATTTTGTCCAATTTACCTGTCGGCGTCGTCGTGGATACACACTGCAATTTTCAAGCTACTACCGCACCCAAAGCCATTTTGCAGTATGCTCTCGAACGGCAAATCTTTACCGCTAACGTCCATTTCTTGTACGTATCCGTCCTCGGATAGCTGATACTCCTATACATGACAAAAAATGTAATGTGGTGAGGAAAAATGGTCTCGCGATTTGTGAAATGATGAAACAGCATAACAGCGTATTTGTCAGTTTATATATTTTATTACCTCTGCAATCGCAGGATCGAATACATAAACATCGCCCAGTGCGGTTGTGACCCAGATCGAATTTGGATTAGGTGTACAGTACACATTGTTCATCTGACAAGATACTGTAAAAAAAAATAGACGACATAATTCCTCCTCATGTCCTCATGTCAGGCCACCTTTGCGCACCTATATATTCTAATTTTTCAGAAATCGTCTCCTTACCTGACGTCAAATGTGCCAACCAATCTTCCATTTCAGTATCAGTAGCAAACTGTAACCTGATTACTTTGGAGCGAGTCAATTTCGGGGTGTAAACCGCTATCCTTGGATTACCTGGCTCACTGCAGCAAACAACACATGTAATTTCCGAGACAGGAAATTGTATCTGTAATACAAGAGAATCGTCTTTCAAGTTACATGTCGAAAATACACAAACGATTTAATTGATAAAAATGTTAAGGATAAACTCACCACGCTTGTTACGCCATCTGAATTTAAAATGATCAAGGTCCCGGAATCTAATGATCCAGTATCACTGCTTATCCATTCCAGTTCGATCTTGCAATCTTCGTATAAGGTGCCACCTTTAATTTTACATTTAGCGTCGCCAGTCTTAACCCAAGATGATCTATGTGACAGAATTTGCTTTATAAGTAAAATATACTTCTCTAAGGCTACGCGTAGGCGCTGTCGATACAGGCATTTTTTTCGCTCACTTTTCGACGGCTCTTTCATACACTATTGAAGAATCGAGTAATACTCTTTTCAACCTCGACTTTAATTCATCTAAAATATATATTCTCCACGGCTCCCCAGTTTCCCTTTGTATTGTACCATTGCTGTCCGCAATCCTGTCCAATCGAGATCGTTGTTAACAGATTGTCACATAGTTCCACATTACGACCCCTCGATTCGTGATATTCCATATTCAGACTATAGCGCAAATAATAAATTGCTTTACCATTTCGGTGGATTGATCGGATCGACGTAGCATGCCCCAGCTTCCACTTTGTGCCACAACACATCACACTCGGCCCAGTATATTATTCCCGCACTCTCATCTTCACCGTATACTCCAGAATCCCCGGTTAAATCTGGATCAAATATGCTCCCGTCAGTTTCCGGATGCGCTTCGACACCTACCATGGAACCGACAGAATGAACGGGACTCCAAGCGGCAGGATTTATCTATTGCAATAGATAATTAATTATAATTCTCTCTTTTTCTCCTTCTCTCGTGTGCTTGATATAGTAATCAATATTTCAATCAATATCAAAAGCACTTGAACCTTGACAGTACTACTCATCCCTTTCCCCGAAACGACTATGGACTCTCCACTTTTTGCTAAAGATTCATTAGATATAGTTATGCTAGCAACACTCGCTTCGTTCAGATCACCTGCGTCTACGGAATTTGCAGACCTAGCAATCACAACGCAAAAAGATAATATTAATATCGTAAACGTTGTTGTGTGCTATTATTGTTATCGCGTATATTATCACTGTATAATTATTTTTATAACCAAAAATATCGTGGACATGCTTCTCTCTCTTCACCTCTTTTTCTCTTCATTTAAATATATATCTTGAAAAGATGTTTGTTGAATATTTTTTGCGGATGCACCATCACCGGTGCGTTGCCACAATTTTAAAGATGTGGGTGTTGGTGCTGAACGCGATTGTTCTTCCCATTCTCTAACTAATGTTGTACCTTCGCTAGTGCTGTGAGGCCGATTCTATACAAAGAGAAAGATTCAATTAGGAATGCAAAGTCAAGTTTTCGTCATTATTTCGTCGTATAAGCAAATGAATGAAAGATACTACCAAAGAACTCCAGCTCTGATGACGCTGCTGCTGCGGTGTACCACATGTGCTGTGCCTATTGCTAGACGACAAGCTGGCATTGCTGCTTGCTCTGCTCAGCTGAAGCGGTGCGTTTATTAATCTCCACTTTTTTCCCGTTAATTCCGAGCGTGTGATGCCAGTGCGATAATACAAACATCGATCGTCATGACCGATAGCCCAAACCTTTCGTAGAACAAGTGATAAATATAAAGTGATATAACGCCCGTGATATAAATAGACGAAAAATACACGCTAGATTCGAATTGTATACCATGGTGAAGCATGGTAAAGTGGATTGTAACAAGAGATACAAGGTTTTGCATTCGTCGGCAAATTTTGATTCCGCATGGTCTGTTGTTTGTAGCTGCACTGCTGCACTGGTTAGGTAAAATGAGATATATCTTTTCTCGTTCTAATTTATTGCACCAGTGTACACCAGTTCGGTAGTGCAGCTACAAAGGACAGATCAATTGATTCCCATCGATCTCACTTTTTCTGTACTTAATCTTTTATTTGATTGAGACTAACCTGATATATCGCTACGTAACGGATATACAATGTTCTTGCGTGAACTAATAGTTAATAATATATTATTACCTGATCGTTTGGAGCAACAGATACTAGGGCCATTTTGCTTAACATTTCGACCCAACCAGTTCCAGTGGCCAATTGCTCGCAAACACCGCTCATTTCGCCTTTAATACCTTTTCGAAACCATACTCCACCGTCGTGCGTTACAGCCCATACGGTGTCGGTACCCACGCTAACTTGTATCAGTCTTAAATCTTTTTGGGGTGGTTCCACTTCTGACCAATCATCACCTTCGATACATTCCGTCGTACATTTACGTATACTATTAATGATAATTATAATACATCCTATAATTGCGCTTATTTACCCATTGGATTGTCTCTCGTTACACCCGTACGGACTAACGCTTTGCCCATCATAACCACAGCCCAGACAAGACCAGTTATTCCAACACTAATTTGACACACTTCGTAGCCATTTGTCAACTTGATGGAGCTCCACCTTTGTCCTTCAGGACAAGTTGTACTTGTTCCAACGCGGAACATTACCTGAGAAATTGTAAAAAGAAAAGAAAAACACATATTTAAGGCTGCTAAGACTGGTTACGTTACATTATCGATGTAATAAGTGTCTTGAAAAAAAAAAAAAGAAAGGTCATGTTAAAAGTTATACCCTTCCATGAGCAGTTACAGCCCAGACTACCAAGCTTCCAGGACTACCTCCAGGCATTACATTTCCACCCACAGCTACATCGATAAAAGGTTCCTGAAAATGTTTAACATGTTCTTTATTAGCTTTTCGAGTGCGTGCGCACGAAAAGACTCACTGGAGTGTTCCATCACCTTGGTTGGATCTTTATGAAGGGGCGCAATAGCGCACCACGAATTCATAGCACTATATCTCCGATAACGGACCCATTTACGTCTCCTTACACAAGATTTCCACTGCTTTTTTGTAGTGTATGTAGCTGGAAAATCAATTGCGTACGTCCATCCCTATCAAAATATCAGATTCTCTGTGATCATAAGATTCTCTTTGGTCGTGGGCAACTGATAACAAATCTATACATAAACAAAACCTTATGAAGAACACATAATACTTGTAAAAAACAAGAAACATATCTCAATTATGCAGTGTATTGTATAAATGTTAATGAAGGTTACAAAGAATCTAAGATTCTTCTGTATCCTCGGTACGCATGCGATCCTAAATTACTGGCAATTGTACAGGCTTATACTTTAGTGAAATATACAAATATCGCAAAAAGAGATATATGAACATACTTTAGAGAAATATGTTTCCCATAAAAAATAATTGAGTTTTTTTAATCATAAGGATTATATTTCAATACTGCACATACGAGTTTATTTACACAGAGTAAAATAATAAGAGCTAAATTCTTTTTTGTAAAATAAGAAGGAAACTTCACTATTAACTTCAATATGACCAAATATAAATCAGAATATTGCTACGGAAAAAAATATATTTACATCGTGATCTAATGGTTGACCATCTAATGTTGTTTCTATCTGCCAATCACCTTCCCATTGCCATGCCATTGATGGTAACTTCACCTTGTCTCTGCTGCGATCAACTGTACCATCTTGATTTGAAAAATTATATCTGTCGGTTGGAAGCAATCTTCCACTAAAACCTTCTAAAGGTAGCCACCGCTAAAATTTGTATTATTTATTTATTTGTCTCTTTACATAAATATAATATTTATTTTGGTCCCTAAATAAATTATAGACAATGTGTGTGTGTGTGTGCATGATGTGTGTGTGTGTGTGTATACAGGCTATCTGATGCAAGACAACATATATGAAGGTAGAATATGTCCACCTGAGCACAAAAATTTCTAACAGTTTGCAATCATGTGTGAAATTTCAGACATTCTGCATATATACGTGTGTGTGTGTATGTGTATGTACAAGGTATCCCAGCATAAGAATACCAAAATATCTTTTGTTTTTAATATGAAAAATATTTAGAGCATAACTTGAATGGTTCCAAAGCTGGAATATCATATAATAAAAGATGAAAGGAAAATTTTTTTGTGATAATTTTTTTAGAAATTTCTGAAGATCCCTGATATTTTTTTGTAGAAAAATATGTATTTTTTTCTATTGCATCTTGTAGTAAATGTTGAAATGCATGTCTGAACTTTGAGAAGACTTTGAACATAAATAAAGCAGTCAAATTCCAACACAGTATTAAAAAAAAAATGATACAAAAAATAAATGAAAAAAAAAGTATACGAAAAAAAATTATTGCAAAAAATTTTCCTCCTATAGTATTCCTCCTTCAGAACCATTCAAATTGTGCTCTAAATCTTTCGCACATTATTAAAAAAAAGATATTTAGATGTTATGCTGGATATCTTAAACACACCTCATTTTCATAAGTTTCCTCTTTTATCCTGATCGGTATGTCTAGGCCGTGAACGTGAACGTAAACTTGGCGATCTCCACCAATGGCCCACATAAAATGAGGCACTGCCGACAGCTGCTTAAATTCCAGACCTAAATACATGAACTCACGCCACATGTTTCCAGACGTTGACAGTCCGAACACACGTCCTTCATTGTTAATAGCGTATAGATATGAACTCGGCATTTTTATATTATTTTATAAATTTACCTGTAAACAAACATACTGTCGTAAACAAATATGTAATATACATTTTTAAACGCAATTTGAAAGGGAATAATACGTACCGATTTATTAGCAAATACTACTTTATCGTTCCATCATCAATCACACATCGGGAAAGGATGCTGCTGTCCAATTAGTTATATCATTGAATTATATATGACGCATCGGATAAGACACTAGTCATTCCTCAGAAATGATTATCATTCCTTTTCATAAATTGTGACACCTTACCTTCGTATGTCAATAATATAATATACCATACACACACTACACGTATTAAACACAGCCTTCTATATAATATCTAGACTGCTAATTAGATATAGTTTAGCAGAGAGAAGCCTGAGAGCGGCGACGCCATTCATTTTGGCTGACACCGATTTTTTCTCTAGAGACCCTTCGAGAGAGACTGGACAAACTGACGGTCACCAATATGTGAGCTCGTAAGAAGTGCGTGGTCTGTACTTTTTCGCTGCACTAGTGCAATGAGTAGAGTGAGACGAGTATATTTTTTCTCACTCTAATGCTCCTGCACACAGAACGCGGTAATGCTTGCCGCGCAGCAGAAGTTCGCGCGACAACCAATCAATATGCTGCTTTCCGTAATAACCTTCTAGCTCTTACGGAAAAACAACATATTGATTGGCTGTCGCGCGGACTTCCGCCGCGCGGCAAGCATTACCGTGTCCTGTGTGCAGAAACCATAACTTATGTTGGCGCTGCCATTTTGTGAGCAAAAATCACGTGCACCAATCACGCGGAAACCGTTGTGTCCAGTCTCTACTCAGGTCTCTATTTCTCGCTGATTCGATGCGCCATCTGCACCTATTTTAGAGATGCAACACATTCTTTACGCCCATTTTCAGACACTACCGGTAAAGTGTAGATTTGGTGCGTGCACTGCAATATACCCAGCAAGCAACGATGTTCACGAAACGTCCATCGGACGTCCATATAATGTCCAATCGCGAAAAGTCCACGTTTAAAATGAACGTTCAATAAACGTTCAATAAACGTTCAATAAATGTTTGTGTAGTCGGAAAAAAGATTGTCACAACTTCTACAATGAATGTTAAAACAAACCACTAGTTTCTGAGATGTGAACATCCCTGCTCACACACACAGATAAAGCTGCGCAATACGTTTTGTACCAATTTCGGCTGTCACGAGAAATAGTGCGTTGGAAGGGCTACTGAATTTAGGCCTGCAACCAAAGAGAGAGAGAGAGACGAGTGACAGTTCGTTCGCATGTTATGTCAAGAGATTAATTTACGTAAAAGGTTAATTACGTTAAGAAGTTAATTTACGGTATTATATTTATTACACGGTATTAAATTTATATTGTTAATGTTGCTTGTGCCGTGATATTTTCAGAGAAGAGATAAGAATATCACATCAGATAAGTATCGTTGAATATAGAAAAATATATCTAAAGAATAAAGAATTCGAATGCTTTGTGTCGTTTTTAATCTTTGCAGGTACAGATCTAATAGTTATAAAAGAGGAGAAGGATAGAGAACGAGAATAGTAAATAAAGTATAGACAGATGGAGAAGAAGAGGAGACTGAGATAGACAAAAAGCACATATGAGTGAGCTAAACCAGGCCATTTGGCGTTTTTTCGTTTCGTGACCACGATACCGTTTGGTTGGTTGGTTTGGTCCACTTAATACTCGCAACACCTCGAGCAACAAAGGGCGCATTCAGTAGAAAAAGCGCTTAGTGAGCAATCAACGATTATTGGTTCTTGCTATTAGATCCCTAAATCTAGACCAATTACATTGACAAATTACTCAACTGTTGTGCAACTGTTGAGTCTGCTAAATGCAGCCAAAGATAGAATGACGCTCGTGGCGTTGCGAGCTTTAAGTGGACCAAACTAACCAACCAAACGCCACCGTAATTACGAAACGAAAAAACGCTTATTGCGTCATCATGCGCAATAGTACACTTTATATTTACATCATAGGTTCAAACATTTATGGAGATATATCTGAAGGTCGTTCTACATTATGGGTGCTTTCCAATTGCTTAACACTTCTTGACACACACGTACACAGAAATGCACAAAGTGTAACGTTGTGCACGACTCAATTGGAACAAAGTGTGTACTAATGTGTATGTATGTCGGATAGGGTTAGAATTATTTTTCAACATGCCCATACCTTGGTATTTTTTAATAATAATTAATAAGATCTAAATAATAAAAAAGATACTATCCACTTCACGTCGCAAATGGCTGCATTCAGCAGACTCAACAGTTGCACAACAGTTGAGTAATTTGTCAATGTAATTGGTCCAGATTTAGGGATCTAATAGCAAGAACCAATAATCGTTGATTGCTCACTGAGCGCTTTTTCAACTGAATGCGCCCATTGACAAATTACTCAACTGTTGTGCAACTGTTGAGTCTGCTGAATGCAGCCAATGTAGAACGACTTTTAAGCAATTAGAAAACACCCATTATTTTGCTATATGGGTGCGTTCTTTTATTCGCAACAGATACAACCCGATGTATCCGATGCATAATTTAATCGTTCTGTATATCCAGTGCGCACATCAAGCTGCAGACTGCGTACATCTTAACCGTTCTTTAAGCAGAATTGTGCAGCTGCTTGCAACTTTTAGCATCCCAATCCAAGCGGCTGCCGAAAAATTGTAGCCTGAGTTCCGAATGCAGGAACTTTAAGTACGAATACGGTTCTTTGGTGTGCAAAAAGTAGTGCGTTTCTCAAACAGCACACAATATTTATGATAAATATTTATTTCGAATTATTTCTTAAAAATATTATATAAATATAATATAAATATTTTATATACATGAAGAAAAAATATTAAAAATATTATTGAAAATATTATTAAAATATTATTGAAAATATTATTAAAATATTATTGAAAATATTATTAAAATACAGGCTAAATATTTTATACAATATTTATAGTAAACGGAAAATAAATATTTGTAGTAATATTTTGTAAATATATCTATTTACAAATATTATATATGAAAAAAATAAATTATTATTAAAAATAGTAGTATTAAAAAGTAATTATTTAAAATTATTAAATTAATAAAAAAATAAGAAATTCGAATCTCATCAATGGTACGCAAATTTTTAAAGTACAATTTAAATTCAATTAAGTAGCGTGTGAAACAATAAAATGGAAATTTTAAGAAAAATTCAGGAAAAGAGAAAAATGTATATAAATGTATATATTTTAATAAATATTTTTATAATATTTAT